TGTTTGACCCATCTTTGCTTCTAGGTATTTTATGGTTTCCGTTCTTATGTCTAGGTCTTTAATGTATTTTATAATTTTTTTAACAGGACTATTTAGAAACCAAAAAATACTGAGGGAATATGGAGACTTTCTGGGAAACACCAAGGTAAGGATATCTTTTTGTGTTTTTTTCCCCCACATTATTTATTTAGGTTATCTTTTTGATGTGTGTGTTGCACAGCAGAACCGTAATATCAGTCAATTGTGAAATGTTTGTGATTTAAAAAAAAAACTTTTAGAGATTTATTTATTTATGCATACAAGAACTGGTGTTTAGGCCTGAGGTGTGGGGCTGGGAAGGGTGAGAGGATTCACCAGACACAGAGTAGAGAGCAAACAAATGGAGGAGAGCAACAGGGGAGACAGGAGAGGTCTGCTGTACCTTTTGGGTTAGCTGTCTAACAGGGGGTCAAATTCCTGCTGCAGTTAGTGGCTGATGATAGCTTGATAGTGCTGAAACTTTAACCCTTGGGCCACCAGGGAGATTTGATGTTTGTGATTCTAGTCCAGTTTCCTTGAGGATATTGTAATGCACTAAATTACAGCATATTTGTTTGTGTCTGCTTTTTGAAATTAAGAAAATTGAGAGAGAAATTTTTTAAAATTCATAACTTACAAACCATAAGCCATATAGGTTGGATAAGGAAGAAGACTATATTTTATTAGGTTCTTAGCAAGATTTAGCTCTTTCATAATATATAGTTAAATCTTTTGATCTTCTAATCTTAAACCTGATTAAATATTCAAACTGTCAGTTTCTGTAGCCAAGAAGCATAGCCCTTGGAGGAGAAAATGGCATGTTTATTTTTATTTTTCTTTCTCTATTATAAATATGCAAAATCAGGGCCTCCTTGGTAGTATAGCTGGTTAAAGCCCAGCACTATAAAGCTTTCACAGCCACTGCAGCATGAGTTTGATCCCTGGCCAGGGAGCTGTCCCACATGTCATGGCAGACCTCTACTGACCCACCCATTGCTTCCCTCAGCAGTGCATTTCAGTCCATCTGCCTGTTCTGCTCCCCACTCTGTCTCTGGTGAATTCTCTCACTCCTCCCACCTCAGTTCTGTATGCATAAATAAATAAATCTTTT